AGCTTTATATTTATTAACTTGTATTTTATATCAAATATTTATTATTTATTATATTTGTATTATATATATTATTATTAGTATAAGTATTTAACAGAGAGTTAAAGCCACTGTGGCACATAATGTGGCTAAAGTTATATATAGCCCTCTACTCTCTTAACTATACCTTCAACTCCCTCGACACTACTCTCAATTCCCTCAATATATCTTTTATCTTCCTCAACTCTCTCTACTCCCTTAACATGGCCTCCAACTCCCTCAATATGGCTCTCAACTTTTTTGAATACAATGTTATATTATCTTCAACTCTCTCAAGTACAATGTTACATTACCTTCAATTTTCTCTTCTATTTTGTAAAAGGTAAATAAAGAGAGCATTAATTCCTTCTTGTAAAAATAGGTTGAATACAGGTTTTAACAAGTATCTAGTTAGAAACTATTATCTTTTTCTTATAGAATTAGTCTTGTAATTCTCTCTTGTAAATGTATAACTTTTTTTAGGATCTCTAAAGAAGGTTATCCTCTTGTCTTATAATAAATAAAGGTTAAAAATACACTACTCTAATACTGAACTATTTATCTTTTGCTATGGATACTTAATTGTATTCCACATTCACTTCATGTATATTTCAATAGCAGAATCTCTGCACCAGGTAATCTTGTTACTGTGCTATGTAGTTACAAAAAGGCTATAGCATTGTAACAATAATAACAACAACAATAATAATAAACAACGTCAGCATTTAAACTAGAAGTGGTATCTTTAGAGGGTAAATATACCCAAAACCAAAACCTCTTATTCAATAAAGAAGAAATAATATACTTATTTTTGTTGAATGAAATAGATGAATTGTTAGATAAAAAGGATGAGAATAGTAATAACTTAGAAAACCAATTTTATAATTTTTGAACTAAGTATAATGAAACAATAGAAATACTTAGATTGAATACAGGTAAAATTAATTATAATATAGATAATATTGTTTAAACAAATCAGTTTAAAGATGTCTTATTTACTATTGCTAAAGTCTTGAGAGTTACAATCAATATTTTGATTGATTCTGGCTCTAAAGGATATGTTATAGCTAAACATTTTTTTAATAAGATTAATTGTAAAATAGATAAACCTAGTAATATTAAAGTTGTTGATATTACTGGTAATAAAACTACTCCATTAGGGCATATTAAAAATATACCTGTTTTACTTGGCACCAAATTAATATATATATATATTAGAAGTATGCTATTTATCATGTGATATTTTTTACTTAGTAGCCACTCCTATCTATGTATGGTGTGATCACTTTATCTAATTTTGATTGGTTAATATCATATATAGACGTGATCATTATCTCTGACCATGTATCCATAATAAAAATTACGTGATAAATAGCATGCCCCTTAGTAATTAAATCTAAAGAATATAATGTAGTACTTGGTAATGGATATTTGGATCAAGTTCAAACTACTATTAACTATTATGGTGAATATATGAGTATTGGAATAGGTGACCAAGTAGAATATATCTCAATATCTTGTAAATAATGATAGAAGACCCTAATATAATATATCCAATTAACTTTGAAAATCTATATTCTAATCAGGAACTAGAGCTAAAATTGAAAAATGATAAACCTACTAAGCCAATTTATACTACTATTCAAGTTGAAAATATCTTTTCTCAACTTGATAAACAACTTATAGCAAATGTTAAAATAGAAAATATTAACAATCCTTTAAACCCTTCTCCAGATATATTTAAACTAATTCAACCAAAAATAAATGAAATAAAAAACAAGAAAAAAGAAGCCTAAAAAGTTCTTATACATATTACTGAGGATAAATCAACCTTTATTAGATATATATTAAATAATAGCCAACAACAAATTATAACACAACTACTTTGTGACAATGCAGATATCTTTGCAACTACTTTTGCTGAATTAAATAAAACCAATATTGTATATTATACTATCAATACAGGTGATTCCTATTCTATTAAATAAAGAGCTTACTGAGTCTCACTAATAGAACAAGAGTGTATTGAAAAAGAAATTTTACAAATAGAAAAGGATAGTATTATTTGAAAATCTAAAAGCCCTTAGAGCTCTCCAGTTCTTGTTAAAAAGAAAAATGGCAAGTTAAGATTTTGTATAGATTTTAGAAAACTAACAATATAACAAAAAAGAATACTTATCTATTACTAAAGATTAATGAAATGCTTGATAACCTTGGTAATGCTCAATGGTTTACATCTTTAGATTTAACTTCTGGATATTGGCAAGTAGAAGTTAAAGAGGAAGATAAGGAAAAAACAGCTTTTGTTACCAAATATGGCTTATATGAATTCAATGTAATGCTTTTTGGATTATATAATGCTCCTTCTACTTTTCAAAGGCTTATGGATATAGTACTAAGACCTGTTCTTTGGAAAAAGGCTATGGTTTATATTGATAATATAAATATATATTCAGATTCATTCGAACAATATATATTGGACATTCAGGAAGTATTTAGCTTAATAATACAAGCCAAACTTCATATTAATCCACAAAAATGCCATTTTTATACTAATGAAATACAGTTTTTTGGCATATAATTAGAATTAAAGAAATTAGACCAGATCCTCAAAAGGTTGATAAACTAAATAATTTTTCTCTTCCCAAAAACCTTACTTAACTTAGAGCTTTCTTAGAGTTAGCATCTTATTATAGACATTTTATTGAAGGATTTTCTAAGAGAGCTAGACCTTTGTTAAAATTATTAAAAAGAGATGAACCTTTTATTTGGGAAAAGCCCCAAGATGAGATTTTTAGTTGGTTAAAACATTGTCTAACACATTCTCCTATATTACAATATCCTGATTACTCTGAACCTTTTATTCTTTTTACTGATGCTTCTTACTAAGAACTAGGTGCAGTTCTTTCTCAAATCAAAGATAGTAAAGAGCATGCAATTGCTTATGCTAGCCGAACCTTAACTCCTGCTAAAACAAATTATAGCACTGTTAAATTAAAATGTTTAGCAGTTATTTGGGCTGTTAAATATTTCAGACATTATATCTATAGAATGAGATTTACTTTAATAACAGATTACAAGGTACTACAATGGTTGTTAAACTCTTATACAATTAATAACAATAAACGGATAACCCAATGGAGGATGACTCTCCAAGAATACTAATTTGATATTAAATATCGAGCTGGTAGCCGGAACAAAAATGCTGATTTTCTATCTCATTTACCAGAATACCTAAAAGATAATGGATAACAAACTATATAATCAGCTATATCAATATCTTTTCTCTCTACAATTTGACTTGGACATCTCTAATATGGACAAATCTCAAATCCAAAAAGAAGCAAAACATTACTTTATAGAAAATAACAAGCTATATAAAAGAAATAAGGGCAAGCCCCAACGAGTAATCAAACCAGACCAAAAACATCTCATCTAGTACACTTCATATGATGAACAAGGAGTATACTTAGGCATCTCATCTACTTTTAATAAAATAAAAGAAAGATATTATTGGCCCACTATGTACAATGATATCAAAAATTACATTCAAACATGTGATATTTGCCAACAAAGAGGACATAAAGTTAGATGGCAAGATTTATATCCTTTGAAAGTAAAATATTCTTTCCATAGAGTTGAAATTGATATTAAAGGACCTCTACTTCCAACTAAACAAGATAATAGATATATTATTGTAGCTATGGATTATTTAACTAAATGGCTAGAAGCAAGAGCTATGGCCGACATAAAAGCTATAACCATTGCTAAATTTATATATGAAGATATTATTTGTTGACATGAAACACCTACAATACTGCTATCTGATCAAGAAACAAATTTTCTAAGTGATATTGTAAAAGAATTGTATAATAACTTTCAAATAAAACATCATAAATCATTTGCTTACTATCCACAAACAAATGGAATGATTGAACGATTTAACCGTACTATGGGAGAAGAAGTAAATAAACCATTAAAAAAGTAAATAAGATTTAGAATATTCTAGTTTGTATAATAATTTCTATTCAGTTGATTTAATTGGTTAGTGATCATTCTTGGATTGATATAAAGAAATTTCTGAAACTATTAGATCAGCATTTCATTATCATAAATAGTATGATTAGCACTGTACATTTATGGTATATTCCCTGACTGAATAAGGTACTTAACTCCTGTCCGAAAGATCTAGACCTCTGTATTACCATACCAATAGAGAGTACTATAGAAGGATCAGTAGCCTAATTTGGTGGTGTATAATGTGAATACCTGGATTAACGTGAAATATCATTCTAGTTTGGCAACTTAACTGTTTAAGATATGGCTAGGCCCATAAAGTAATTCCTCTAGGGACACTAAACTGGAAGCATCAAGGGCACTCACTCGAGAGACACCAATTTGGAAGTGGTACAAGAAACAAATTAGGAGTAATATAATAAGTACTAAGAGGTAGAAATTGGCTAGTAAACGTTGTATAGTAGTATATAAGTGTGATATATATGATAATATAGGTTTGAAAACCATCTGGTGAGTTAGTAATTGGTCTGGTCAAAAGGGGCAGTTACTAAGAAGGTAAAATCTCATATAGCAGGTTGCACATAAGTACTAAGTTAGTAACTAGATGAGCCTTATCTATAATAAATTAAATAGTTGTAAATGTATATATATACATTTGTAACCACAATATCTTAGAGTACTAATAAACAGTAAAGGCAAGACTGCCGAATTAAAAATATATATATATATATTTCTCATATAATAGATATTCCACTGATTCGGCGTATTTTTCTTGTAATCTTTTTTATAATTATTTCTAATATATCTATTTAATTCTGTTCTGATTAGCTCTTTTTCAGAATAAATCGCTTTAGTTAGAATTTCTTTAGATACATTTTAATTACATCTTATAAATAAAATTTATTAAAGTTATTTTTTAAACTTTGGCAATCTTGCCTTTATTGTACTAGGAGTGCATAATCTAAATACATAGTTTCGAAACAAAAAACCTGCAATAAACTCAATGTTCTCCACCCTTCTACTCTTCAATAAAGACTCACTCAGCTGCTCGTAATGGTGTCCAAGTGTGATCTGCCGCAACAATAATTTATTTATCTCCGGCATCTAACTTGCTAGATGGCTTCTCGAAAGAATCACTATAAGCTTACTGCTAGCTTTGTCAAGATTGCCTTTTTCTTAACATTTTTCCTTCTTCAAAGGGCAAAGTAAATGGAGAAAATAAAAACAACAAAAACAAAAGAAAACGAATACGACAAAAAAAAACATATACGAAAGGGAATATAAAAGAGAAAATAACAAAAAAAAGAAAACAAAAAAGATAGCAGAAAATTTCATTTTTTTTAGCACTACTATTACCCGTGCTAAACTAAAAAAATTATATAACAAATATGATATTTGTATATCTCTAGTGTAAAGCTTTGCCTTATCAAGTAAATTTTCTGACTAGATTATCTGGACTCCTAAACGATGTAAGCGGCCAACTTTGGTATTACGTGAAGCAGCATGATCTATAAACAAAACAAACCAGACATGTGATCGCAATCTGCTGGAACTGTCCAGATTTGGTAGGTGTAAACAATGCTGATCTTTTGGAGGAGGTAAGCTGTTTTGCTCACTTTTGTGGGAAAATTTAAAAGAGTGGCGAGAAGGCGGAGAAAAGAGACAAACCCACTTTGTTTTGTTTAATAAAGGAGTGTGTATTTTCTTTACTCAACACATTAAATCCATAGGAAAGTACCAGTACTCTTCTTATTTTTTTCAGATAAGTGATAAACTCTAAGCTTGTCAGCAAATAGCGTATGAGAACTATTTCTAAACGACAAGTGCCCGGCCCCCGCGGTGAGTGATAAACTCTAAGGAAATTAGCAGGTAGCTTATGAGAACTACCTCTAAATAACAACTGCTGAGTTACAGAGCTTAAGGATTATTTCTCAGTCTGTTTCAACCTTTACAGACACTTGTATTTTTTTAAAATTTTGGATTTTTTTGTGGTAAAAAGGATTGTCGGGAAGAGTTGCTTAAGTGAAAAATTCAATATTTTAATATATAGTTAATAATATATAAATTTTGGTAATAAAGCTTGATAATTAGTTTAATTAGATTGATTAATAGTTGCATTTAATCGAATGTTTCTCTATTATATTTAACCCGGGTCAGACCAATTTTTGACCTGTGACCTGTATAACTCGTCGAGTCGGGTCAACCCATATGAGTCAACTGACCTGAGTAATAACTCTACTTCTATAACTAGATAGTGTAACTAAGATTACAGATTTGATTCTGAATTCAACTAATAATCAATAACTGTTAACTATAACACAGGCTATTTTTAAATATCATTATCTATATAATTTAAACTCTAGACCTGCCACTTGGAGAGAGTGACAAATAAATAAATAATATTTTTATTTATTATATAATATAAAAACTAAATAAACTTTAATACACTAATAGAAATATTAAGTAAACCTAATTAAACTAGCTTAATTCAAAATACTAGACTAAACAAAAATTATAAACTCTTTTTAACAATTATTTAGATCAAAATTTCTAATAAGGAAAAATAAAAATTTGTTAAAAAGTTGTAGCCTTTTGTAGTAGTTTGTTAAGAGGTTAACTGCTTTCTAAGAGACTTCTTTTAAAGATATTTGGCATGTAAGCCAGAAGCGTTAGTATACAAGATAACTAGCAAGTGGTGCTTTTGTATATAAAATCTTATTTTTTTTTTTTTTAAATTCGGCAGTCTTGTCTTTACTTTATTAGGCTTTATAATATTATA